TCGCCGGGAACATTCACCGAGCACCGGAACCACACTTCGCTGAGTCACTGCCGTGGGCGAAGTGAGGTACTTGGAAATACGTCAAGTTTTCAAGTCAAGTTTTTGGATTTTAAGTTATGTTGGTTTTATCACTCTTTTTCTTTCTTCTTCCTTCATCTGTTATGTCTATTCTTCGTTTTTATTCATTATTAATTTTTGTTTATGTCCTTGTGTTTATTTCGTCTTGTTTGTTTTTTCGAGTTTGTAATACAAGAGAGTGAGAGAGAGAGAGATAGGTAGATACATAGATAGATGGATAGATAGATAGATAGATAGATAGATAGATAGATAGATAGATAGATAGAAGATGGATGGATGGATGGATGGATAGATGGATAGATAGATAGATAGATAGATAGATGGATGGATAGATAAATGGATAGATAGATGGATGGATGGATAGATAGATAGATGGATAGGTAGATATTTAGAGAGTGAGTGAATAAGTTCAGAAATGCTAAGCGGAACTGCTTGGCGCGCTTACTAGTGAGGGAGAGGGGGAGGTGGAAGGGGAGAAGAGGGAGAGGGAGAGGGAGGAGGAGAAGAAAGAGGTAGGGGTAGAGGGGAGAGGGAGAGAAAACCCGCACCTATTAAAGCGGTATCAGACTTGTAATAATAATTCTCCCCTCTATCTATCAATCCATCTCCCTCCTCTCTCTCTCTCTCTCTCTCTCTCTCTCTCTCTCTCTCTCTCTCTCCCCCTCTCCCTCTCCCTCTCCTTGCACCTCCCGCTCTGTGCGCAGGCCAGCCCCGTTTGCAAAGTTGCATCCGCATCGCCTCCGTCTGCAACAGGTGGCGCGGGACTGACGGCGCCTCTAACGGACACCCATTAGCATACGCGAGAGGGAGTGACCAGCTGTACCCCCCCCCCCTACTCGACTCCCTCCTCGACGCCCCTTCATCCCCCGTGACCCCCCCTACCCCCACCCCTACTCAACCCCTACCACCTTAACTCGACTTATTATAGCAATGATATCAGAGAGATTGCGTAACTAGATTGCTGTGTTGCTTCAATCGGAGCAAGGGAAAAGAGTTGGAGAATGGTAATGTAAGTTTATCTTTTTACCTGGAATGCATGTATGTATGTATGTATGTATGTATGTAAGCATGTATGTATGTATGTATAGATGTATAGCTGTATGTATGTATGTATGTATGTGTGTATGTATGTGTGTGTGCGTATGTGGTGTTGTCGGGACCCGTGTGCACAGCTCCGTCATGGCGGCCTTGGGAGTGTTGCCCGATTTAACGCTGGGGCTACTTTCACTCTCTTTTTAGCCGTTTTTTTTCTTTAATCTGATATGGGCTGTCTGCTTTGATTCTCTGCTTGAAGGAAGGTGGACTTCGAAAACCGTTCTTTGAAACTGAGGCTGCCTTGGACACCTGCTACGAGGCACACGAGCAGTTATGCAGGTGTTCGTGTTTTTTATGAGTCGCCCCCTTGCCCACATTAAATTTTTGGGAGTTGGTCTTGATTCTAAAAACAGATATATTAGCAGCGCTTTTCTGAATGCAGGAAAGTCCAGCGATGTGAGGCGGCCAGGAATGCCAGCACGTGACTGTTGCAATAACTCGTTCTTCTGGAAGGACAGAATGGAGGGTGACGTCACGGGTATAAGCTCCGCCCTCCCATACTCACGTGACCATTCAAACCTCCGGGGCGGAATGATTGGATTTTTTGGAGAAAATATGGGCACTGGCATCTTTCCGCGTGTCCCTCGTGGCACTCGCCATCGAAATACAGGAAGATAGCTACTACAGCCCGCGTCCTCTCTCCTCGCTGTCCTTCAAGTGAGTTTTGCCCCCCCCCTCCCCCCGCACGCCCCTCCCCTCCCTGGCTGCCATTGATGGGGGAAGCTTGTTTTTCATGACGTCACAGTTACGTCACCAAGCTCCGCCCCCTCCCTGTTGCCCACATGCCCTACTCCCGTGTGACAGTCAGGTAGGGCGTCGGGCATTAGCACAGTAGCTTCTTCGGTGCGTGAGGGTATGTGCTGACAGGGGCGTCGAGGCCTGCGCTCTTACCCGGGCCGTGATCTATCACGTACGAGGGAGAGTCTTCGGAAGAGGCGCTGAACGTGATGCCTTGTGTCGAGTGTGGAATGTGCCTTTTTCGTGTGATTCTCGCGGGGCCAGTTCGCTTGGCACTGAAGGGCCGTCTCGCGCAGCAGAGTGTGTGTTTGTGGTGTTGAACTGAACTCGGGACTCTGAGGCCATAAGCGGGACTTTTGACTCAAGGTAAGTCGTATTTCTCTTCTCCTTGTCAGCGGACGTAGCATTAAGAGCAAAATACGAAGCGCAAACACAGAATCGAAATGCAATGAAAGTGGAGTTGCAAACTTTTTAGGACAGAACTCAAGAGCGAGAGGCCGAAGCGAAAGAGCGACGCACCATTACCATGCACGAATAACCCCGACGCAGACATGCAGATGGCGACCTGATCTTTTTATCGTTCGTTATCGCCGACAGAAACCAACCCAGTCACCACGACCGAGCGATAACGAAGTCACCCCGAAACCTGTCCGTCACACCGCCCCCTCCCCGCCCTAGAACGTAACGTAACGTGCGCCACGACTCTTTCTGACTGTCCCAGGGGCGCGGGGTCGGATCCTGGCAGATGGCTCGCAGCTGGGGAGTCGGAGGAGGGTTGAAGAGAATCCTTGGTGTTCGTGTAAGAGACGAAGGAAGATTTGAATTAAGATTAAAAGCATTATTTTTCGATTATTTTTCATTACTTTTTTCTTAATGAAGGAAATATTTTTTCTTATTGCTCTCGATTTAGTTGGCGGAGTGCGTGTGTGTTTCGCTATGAGAAAGATTTTTTAATGGCTTCTGATATGTTTGTGGTTAATATTACGTGTCCAAACACGCTTTTAGGTTATTGGGTCAGAGGGAGGAGGAGGAGGAGGAGAAGTTAAGAAAGAAGAGGAAAGGAGGAAGAAGAAAAAAAAAACAAAGAAGAAGAAAAAAAATAAAGAAGAAGAAAAAAAACAAAGAAGAAACAAAGAAGAAGAAGAACAAAGAACAATAAAGGAAAAAAGAAGGCGAATGAGGGGAGATGCGAAAGACAGAAAAATACAAAATGAAAGAAATATTACAAACATAAATGGAAAGGTAAAAAGTAATGGAATGAACAATCGGAAAGAAAGAGAAAGAAGCAGAAAGAAATGCATGGCACAACGAGAAGCGCCCAGTGATTCATGCAGTCGGCTTTCTCGCGAATGTTTAGTCACAATCTTGCAACAGACGCAACAGGAAGAGGTTGCTCTAAGCTGGTATAGAACATAACAAAATAAAGGTTTATTTTCATTTCTTGATGTGGGTGTGTAATATGTATTTGTGTATATATATATATATATATATA